GTAGCCCCATCTGGGTGGACTTAGGTGGGGCCTATCACCCAGAGACAGGTCTGGTCAGGTTGGCTTCCACTTACCCCCAAAGAAGTATGAGGTCCCTGTACGGATCAGCAGTGGGTATGAGACCCTGACCTCTGCCCCCTCCACATCATCAATGCTGATGACTGCATGGTTTTCCTGTGCCACAAAATCCACCTCGTGCCAAAAGCCATCATTTAGGCGGTACCCTGGACAGGAAAGGAGGATGCTGTGGGTGGGGAAAGCAACACACTCTAGGAGAAACATGTCTTCCGTGGGGAAGCAGCACCCCCCACTCTGTGTCCCAACAGCAGCCTATGTGCCCCCCATTGTTGCAATGATCACACTCAGTGGTAATATCTCTGAATGTGTCTCTTCACTATCCATAACCCCAGCAGCTGATACTGCCTGCAAAGTCATAAATGAATAACAAACAGCTCCAGAGACCCCCTGGAACTGGAGAATATCAGAGCTCTCCACCTTCCTGCTTCTCCCAGCGCCCTTAGCTCCTCAGATCTGCCCCCAGCCCCAGCGGCCTCCATCCACTGCCACATTTTCCCAGAGCCCTGGGACCTCCTGCTGTGCTCCCTTCACTCCCTCACCCCTCTCCAGTATGCAAAGGCCTCAGTCCCGGCCTACAACCTCCCCAGCTCTCCTCTGCCCTTCTCTGGCCTCCTGGTGCCTCCCTACCACCTCCACCCCTCACCAGCGGCGAACTGAAGCTTCTTTCGGCCAGGCTGCGCAACGGACACGTTGACCTGCCCTTCACTGAGCATCAGCTCCACGTGGCCCAGCCCGTCCCCGAGGCTGGAGTAAAGTAACAGTCCCGTGAGGTCCCAGGTGCGGAAGCGAAAGGAGACTGCAAGGCGGCCGCGGCGCGGGAAGCCAGGCACTTGCACGAAGTTGTGAGGACCTCCGAAGTTGACAGGGTGAGGAACCGGGTCCAGGCAGCGGAAGGCCACCTTACCCTGGGAGCGAAAGTGAGGCTCCGTCAGTACCCGCGGGCCATGTCCCGTCCCGCCTCTGCTGGAAATCCCATTTTCATACGTCTAAGATCTTCGTCAAGGCACTCCTTCGGTGTGGGGCCGTGGGGGTAAGACCTCCAACCCTGACCGTTCCCACCCTCTAGAAACGTCCGGCTGTGAAGGGGGTCTCCGGCTTGCTCGCTATCACTGATCTGCACGGGCTCCAGGGAGACCACCTCCTTCCCTTCCTTCCAGCGTCCAGAAGCACTGAATGACGCGCTCCTGAACTGGGGTAGGGAGGAGCACACCAAAACAGCTCTGGGTTCAAGTCCCTACTAAGCCGCTGAGCCACTGCGTGCCCCCTGGCCAAGCCACTCCTGGCCTCTGCACCTTATTTTCCTCATCTATTAATTGAGGCGGTGGTTGGACCAGATCACAGCTTCTTAACTTGGAGTTAGAGGGGTGGCATTTGCACCACCTGAGTCCCTGATGCCCCCCACTTGAGCACCTGGCTGGGGAAAGAGAGGTCCTCTACTTTTATCTGATTCCCAAAATCTCTTTCCGCTCCACCTCTTTGCTTTTCCAGGTACTTTGATTCCCGTCCTCCCAGATCCCCTGCCCACTGGCCTCGAAGGTGATCCGCGAATGGCGCCGCACAGCCAGGTCCGCGATGTTGACTCGGTTGAAGATTACATTTTCTATGCATCCACGGAAATTATGCCGATAGGCGAGGTTCTTCTGTGCGGCGCCCACCAGACCCCCGATGAACATCTGCGGGCAGTGTGGGGAGTGAGGTTCCCCAGGTGCGGGAGCGCGGGCACCTTTCTTGCCCTCCCCACCATACAGCTTTATAATAGACTTGAAACACATTTCTCAGTATCGGTATTAAAGCTGGAGCTCTCTGGGCCTCCCAATGGGTTCTAGTCCCGAATTCACTACAAGTTGGCTGCATGCCCTTGGGTAAACCTTTCTGGAATTCTTTATCTGCAGATCCCAGCCAGGGTCTTTACCAACTCCAACAGAGTTGGGCAATCCCAAGGGGGGCAATTTTCTCATCTTGCCGGATCCCCCAAAATCCAGATTTCCAGACCCCATCTCAGTAGTTCTGGGGTGGCGCCTGGGAATCTGCATGCCAACAGCAACAACAAAAACCCAGGCCTTTCTGGGAGCCACGAGCTGCTAGGATATTCAGGAACCAGAAAGCAAGGTCTTACTTCTGCTGGAAAGAAGTGCTGTCGCTTACCGGCCCACCCGGCACCCCACCCAATCAAATGACGCCTCCCCCACTCAGCTCACCTCGTTGTCCAGGTTCAGTCTCTCAAAGTCACCATTGAGAATGAAACGCTGCACATAGCCGTCCAAGGTGAGATTTGCATGGCGGCCAAATCGGTCCACACGCACGTAATGCCAGTGCTGATCGTTCAGGACACCGCCAGCGCTCACCGTCGTATGACCAGGTCTTGGCTGGATGGGGCTGCTGCCTGAGGGTGGGGAAGTGCAGAGTCAGACCTCCAACCTGGAGAACCCCAGGGAGCCCTAGCTCCCAGGCAAAGCAGGGCCAGAAGCAGCCAGGGAGAGTGGACATATAGAAATTGGACCACCCGGAGCTTGGGATAGATCAGTGTTCATTGGTGAGGATATGATTTAGGTAAGTCATTTAACCTCTCTGATAGGGGCACAGATACCTCATAATGTGGATGTTATGAAAAGCTAATGAGATACAGAATTATAACTCTGTGTGTGTGTGTGTGTGTGTAATGATTTTACAATGAGGAAACTGGAACTGGGGAAGTGCCTTGTCCAAGGTCACACCGCTGGTAGGTGGTAGAGCTGAGACTGGAATCCAATTCTCCTGACTCGGAGTCCTGTGTTTTGTTAGCACCAAATTCTACACGAATAAGGCGGATTTATCCAGTTAGGAGGGGAAACGTCAGGAGTGGGCGCGGCTTCGCGGAAGAGGTGAAGCAAGGGGTGCGGCAGGAGCGCCCTGGGGGTGGCAGTCCAAGTCGCTGAGCTCACCCAGGCTCATGTGCAGCAGCAAGTGCGCGCCCTGCAGCTCGAGTGTCACATAGTCGCCCTGGGCGCCCTCGGCATGCAGCAGGAGCCCATCCTTCTCTTCGGTCTTGAAGCTGAAGGCGAATACGTCCCACAGGCTCCGGCTGACCCCTCGCGGGAAGCGGTACGAGATGGCATCATCGCCGTCGAAATAGAGCACGTCGGACTCTGCGCGAACGACCTTAGGTGGGCCGGGGACCCGGGAGACTTGTCTCCCGGGACCCCACCACGACCTCCGCACTCTTACTGTAAGGGCAGCCGTAGAGGCCGAGCCTCAGGCCAATCTTGCCGCGCGGGTTCCAAGCCAAGGGCACGATGCGGATGTAGCGGGCCGTGAAGTGGTAGTGTAAGTCGTGGCGCACCACTGCCGACTCATTCATGTTGCCGAAGAAGGTCTGAGGGGGAAGGGAAGAGGAGTGACCAGGTCCCCCCACCCTCTGTTTGTTTCCCCACAGCTTCCCAGTCCACAGTTGTCACAGCCAGCCAATCTCTCCTTCCGGAAAGCAAAATACACTTTGATCTCCCCTGCCTTCATGGCTTTATGCAAACACAGTTAAGTTTCTCTAGCCTAGAGTGTCCTCTTCCAACATCCTATTATTTCCTTAAGACCCAATTCTGGTGTCACCTCTTTCAAGAAGCTCTCCTAGATTTTACCCTGAAGTATGTTAAACCCTGTCACCATCCGGGAGTGTCTTGAACACATAGTGAGCTGACAGTCCCTCTAGACTGAGTCCCAGGAGTGTAAGTCACTGCTTCTCATCTGCGGCCTCACCGCCACCTCCTCCCCTTCCCCACAAGCTAGGGCCCAGCCCAGGTCCCAGAGCTGAGGAGGTTCCCCCAAGTGTGTACGCAGGGACCTAGAGTACCGCGTTGTGCCCTTGCTGGTAGAACGGCGTCCAGCTGTCCACTCGGTCACCATAGAGTAACATGTAACGTGTGACCCAGTCCCACGAGTTAAAGGAGCCCTGCGTGGCCACGGCCCGGATCCGGTGCTTCTTCATTAAGTCGATCTGGAGCCACGGATTCGGGTCCCCAATTCGCGGAGACCATCCGCTTATGCCTATAGAAGGGGCAAAGGCTTTCACCACTGGCTCCCCTTGTACAACAGCCCTCCAAAGTCGCCCCAACCCACCATGGGACGCCGCGCGCTCACCGTGCAGCCGGGCAAAGCGCGGCGCAGTGAAGAGCCCATAGTAAGAAGAGGCGCCCAGGGAGCGTAGGTACAGGGGCCCGACCAGCTCCTCATCGCAGCCGTCTGGGTTGGGGGAACGAACATGTTAATCACGGCGGCCCCTCCCAGGTCTTCCCAAATGCCTGGCACGCAGAGCAATTGGAGCTCCTCCTTTTTGGTCCCCTAGAGGCCGACCCAGCCCTAACTTAAGCCATCTTCTCAACCCGGGTTGCAGCAACAGCTACACACTCGAGGAAGGCTGATTTCTCCTTCTGGGAGAACCTCTAGGCCAGAACTTCCCTAGCCATGCTCCTGCCCTGGTACCAACGGGGCTCAGTACTCCCCCAAACACAATCCCAAACCTCAGCATCTGTTGGAATCTGAGTCAGCCCAAGACACCAATCCAGCCCCTGCTTGAGCATCATCAGTCCCACTCATCAGGACCCCCAAACCAGCACCAACCCCAAATCCAGGCCTTGGTTCCAACCCCAGCCACTCTTCGCACCATCACCAGCACCAATCTCAGCGTCAATCCGGGGCACCAACTCTTGCTTGGAACCCAGCCCCAAACTCTAGCCCCTGGGCCAGTTCCAAGCTCAGCCACAGCCCCTAGTAAAACCTTAACCCTAGCCCCGGTCACCAGTAACACTCTTATCCCCAGCCCTCAAACCCAGGCACCAGCTCCCTCTTGCATCCTAGTCCCGAATCCCGGCCGGGGCCGACGCTATCCTCGGCTCCGATCCCAGCCAGCCCCAGTCCGGGGCGCGCGCGCCAGCCTTGGAGCTGCATTGCGGAGCGCGGGGGAGAGGCAGGAAGGATGAAAGCAAGCGAGCGCGCGCCGGCCGGGAAAGGACCCGCGACCACCCAGCCGCAATGCGGTGCGGGACCCGCCCTGCAGGCTTTGGGCTCACGGGCCCAACCCTGCCGGCCTCCGAGCCCCGCACTCACAGTAGCCCCAGCCCTGGGCTCCCGAGACCGCGGCGAGAATGGTGCAGAAGAGCCTGAGATGCATCCTGTAGGGTCTCGGCGGCCGCCTCCCAGTGCCCGGCTCGGGCTAGGGCTCCAATTCCAGCTCGCGCTCTCAGCTTTCCTAGGGTTCGCAGCGGATCGCTGTCTCTCCTGCTTACCCACCCCTCCCTCTTTCCTCTCTCCCCTAACCCTTCTCCACCCCCTCTGTCGTGCCAGGTTCTCCGCAGTTGGATCTCTCCTCTCCTTTCCACCCTCTCTCCTCTCACCTCCCCCCCTCCCCAGCCTCTCTCCTGGCACGCGCCGCTTTCCCGGACCCCGCGCAAGCGCGCGCCTCAGCCTTGCTGCGAAAGGGCGGGGGTAAGGAGCCTCCAGCCACCGGGAAATACCCTGAATAACCCGAGGCTTGCAGGGACTGTGGTCTCAGGGGTGGGGGGAGGGAGGTCCTGAAAAAATCTAAAAAGACTGGAGATGGTGAGAAGAGTAAGTAAAAAGATTCTAACATTTTCTGAAGGCAAATTATGCTCCAAGGATCCGTACCAGGCACCCTTATAACCCTGTGAATTCAGCATTTTTACCTTACTCCTCTTTGCAGATGAAAAACCTGAGGCTCACAGAGATAAAGAAAAAAAACTTACTCAAGATTATACAGGTAGCTAACAAATGAAAATATTCCAAAAACCCATTCTTTTTCTTCTGTCAGGGTAAAGAGAAATTAGTTTTTAGGGGGTGGAATGGGAAAGTTAGGTAAAGAAAGCCTATAGACCCTAATCCCCACCTCCCTCTTGGCCCCTCTCCCCGCCCCTTCCTTCCTGTCCCACTAGTTTTAACTTCTCTCCCCAGTGGCTATACCTCAGAAACCTGTGTAGCCAGAGATGGGGACTGAGCCCGCAGAGCAGGTGGGAGTGGGGGCAGGGGGGAAGGCTTACAGAGAGGGAGGGGAAGGTGAAGGGATGGGATTCCACACCTGGCAACAGGCCTCTGCCATGCTATTTCTCATCCATGATTCCTAAAGCCATTTGGGACCAGGGGCCCTCCTGATAAACGGGCTGGTGATGTGAGGCTGGGGTTGGGGGACAGGACTGGGACTGAGGGGAAGGGCAAACTGAACGTAGAGGTCCAAGGTCCCAACCGAAAACCTCAGTCCCAACTCTGGAGACCTGCTTATCATGAGTTGTTCACTGAACCTGTACTGGAGGTAGAGGTGGGGTGGTGAGGGGAAAAGGGAAAGGAGACCCCATGGAGCCTGGCGACCAGGTCTGAGGCCAAGCCTACATGTGGGCGTTCGTCCAGGAGAGGGCGCTGAAAGCGGTATTGGAGCTCCAAGATTTATTAATACAACCGCTTGGCCTATGAAGAGCACAGATGCTTCACATCCATTATCCTCTTATTTCAAACAATCCTTATTTCAAACAACCCTGCCTGGTGGGCTGGTAAGGATTTCTAATCTTGACATTACATATTAGGCAACTGAGATCCAGGAAAAGCAAGTGGCTTGTTCAAAATCACCAAGGAAGCTGGATGCCGTCAGGATGGGTATAAGGGAAGGCCTGTTGAGGGTGTGCTGAGGAGAGTTTGGAGATGAACTTGTGTCTTCTCCCTATGAACTGTTGCACCTGGTCATACCACAGCTTGGAAAGCATGTGTGGGAAGGCACAGGGAGGGAAGATGTCTCATAAGATCTCTCTTCTCATTTTGACCTCTCCAGTTCTCATGGGGTCCCTACTCCTACTCCGGAGATGAAGAGGAGATATATTCGGCTGAGCCGTTGCCTGAGCTCTGCTACAAGGCAGATGTCCAGGCCTTCAGTCGGGCCTTCCAACCCAGTGTCTCCCTGACGGTGGCTACACTGGGTCTGGCGGGCAATGGCTTGGTCCTGGCCACTCACCTGGCAGCCCGACGTGCTGCCCGCTCGCCCACCTCCACCCATCTGCTCCAGTTGGCCCTGGCTGACCTCCTGCTGGCCCTGACCCTTCCCTTTGCTGCTGCCGGGGCTCTGCAGGGCTGGAGTCTGGGAAGTGTCACCTGCCGTGCCATCTCGGGCCTCTACTCGGCCTCCTTCCACGCCGGCTTCCTCTTCTTGGCCTGTATCAGCGCCGACCGCTACATGGCTATTACGCAGGCCCTCCCAGCTGGACCCAGGCCCTCCAAGCCAGGCCGAGCACACTTGGTCTCAGTCATCGTCTGGCTGCTGTCGCTGCTCCTGGCGCTGCCTGCTTTCCTTTTCAGCCAGGATGGGCAGCGGGAAGGCCAGAGGCGCTGTCGTCTCATCTTCCCCGAAGGCCTCACGCAGACGGTGAAGGGGGCGAGCGCGGTGGCGCAGGTGGTCCTGGGCTTCGCGCTGCCACTGGGCGTCATGGCTGCCTGCTATGCGCTCCTGGCCCGCACACTGCTGGCCGCCAGGGGGCCGGAGCGCCGGCGCGCGTTGCGTGTCGTGGTGGCCTTGGTGGCGGCCTTCGTGGTGCTGCAGCTGCCCTACAGTCTGGCCCTGCTATTGGATACAGCCGATCTACTGGCTGCCCGCGAGCGGAGCTGTCTTGCCAGCAAGCGCAAGGATCTGGCACTGCTGGTGACCGGGGGCTTGGCCCTCGCCCGTTGCGGCCTCAACCCGGTGCTCTACGCCTTTTTGGGCTTGCGCTTCCGCCAGGACCTACGGAGGCTGCTCCGGGGTGGGGGCTGCTGCCCAGGGCCTCACCCCCGCGGCCGCTGCCCCCGCCGGCCCCGCCTTTCTTCCTGCTCCGCTCCCACTGAGACCCGAAGTGTCTCCTCCTGGGACAACTAGGGCTGCGAATCTAGAGGAGGGGGCGGGCTGAGGAAATGAATCAGTGAGGGTAGTGGGAAAGGGGAGTAGGTGGGGGAAATACTGAAAAAGAGGTAGGGACCTAAAGGAATTGCTTCTGTACTTGGCCACATTAAATTGATAACATGGAAATGAGACACAACCCAACAACTGTTACTATTTTTGAGTCACCGACTTGGAAGTGATTAGTAGCAGGGCAGAGCCGTGCGCCCCCCTCCCCCCCACGCCACACCTCCACCTCCACGGCGCTGGGCTCTGAGTGGAAGGCGCTGAGAGCCTGGGTGGGGGGTGGGGTGGGGGGGCTGCTGAGCCAGCTAAAGCTCCAGGCACTGACACCCCCTTCACCTTCACCTGGTCTCTGCCAACAACAATGAGGTGGGAAGGCTGCCAGGCAAGGAGGGGCGGGGGTTCCTCTTGAAATAGCGTAAGGAAGAGCTTTCTAACAACCAGAGTGCTATCCAGTAATGGCTGCCTTAGCAAGTACCGAGTTCCCGGCCTCTGGAATGTTCAGGCTGAGCTGTCGGGACTTTGTGTGCCGGTGCATGGTATTGGGGTACGGACAGGAGCAGGAGATTCCAGTTTTGGGTGGCCTCTTAGATTAGATTACCATTTTATAGTCAGTCTCTTCTATGGTTTTGTGGTAGAAAGAAAAAAAAAAGTAAAAAGTTGAGTCGGAGTTTTTCACCTTGGAGAAAAACCAAGGAGAGAATTCCAATTTGCAAATTTCCAGAGTCGTTATCATGGGCGTGGTGGGGGTGGGGTGGAGGTGACTGCCGTTCTCCGTCTTCCCTGGGGACGGGATTACAGGAAATACACTGAGCCTGCCGGAGAGAGGTTAGACGTTGGAAAGAACTTCCCTGCAGGCAAGGACCTGGGATCCAGACAGGGAAGAGAGTACATGGTTGTGGAGTCTGCACCTCTAGGAAACCTCAGTGCAAGTCACTCTTATCTGGGGCCAGGGCAAGGCTGGGGTAGCCTCTAGAAACAGTCGCATTGATTCCTGGTCTTTGTTTTACACAATCACGACAGGCAGGATGGAGTTCACGTGCGACAACTCTCGCAGTTTAACATCCGGTCAGCAAAGCTGCTTCGACCACTCCAGCCAGCAGTCTGGGGACCCGGGACAAGAAGGGCGGGGTGTGGTGGGGAGGTCTCAAGGGAGGCGCTGACCTGATGTCCCCACCCTGTCCCGTCCCGCCCAGCTTGGGCTAGCCTTCCTTCCCAGAGCCTCCGGCGGCTGAGACCGAACCACGGCCTCCAGGGACCGGGATCTTGAGAAAGGCCCGGAGATGGCACCGATCCTAAAAGGGTCCCATACGCCAGCCACTGGGGGCCAACCTGGAAGCCTCCACCGGAGACCGCGGGAATCGCCGCTGAGTCAGCAACGCACGCGCGCGCCCGCCGTCGCCCTGGCCCCCCGCCCCGTCCGCGGCCCCGCCCCGTTCGCTTAGCGCCTCGGTTAACCCCTTCCTACACAGAACCGCAGGATAGTCACCCTGAGAGGCCTCCACTCTACCCGAAGACCACAGAATTCCCTAGAATCCCAAGTCACTCTCCCCAGTGGAGCTCAGTGAGCTGTGCGCTCTAAATTAGATTTTACTTCCGGCCTAAGTCTGCACTTCACTTCCAAAAGGAGATGACTCAGGTGGAGGAACTGGACTCCTTCATCCAAGGGCAGAGGGCCACCCCTAGAATTCTGTCTTGCACAGGTAGCTAAGGCTCTTTCCTTTCTCAGGGACCCTGAGATGAGACAGGGGTTCAGAGGACAGCAGTTGGGGCCTTCCTCGATGCCCTACGCCCTTGGTTCTCCAAAGCTTCTCAGGAGGGTTAAGAGTTAAAACATGAGCTTGAAGGAGGGCTTCCGTGACGTCACTAGCACTTAGCGTCCGACCTCAGAGACGGAGGCGTGGCTAATATCGCACCGCCCTCTCCCTCCCTATTCCCCTGCCCCTCCCCGCTGTCACCAAGCCAGAGGCACATGATGCAACCCGCCGCGGCTTCAGTAGTTTGATTGGTGGCCGCGCCCGGCGCCAGGCACAGGGATTGGGCAGAGGAGGCTGTGACGAAAATTGGACCCTGCCCTGTAAAGGAGGGAGGAGAGAAAGAAGTGGGAAGGGGGGGCCAGGAGAGGAGGGGATTTGGGAGGCGGGGTCCCGGCTCTGTGCTCGCGCCCCTAGAGCGCCAGTCCCGGGCTGCAGGGAGCGCAGCGCGCGCGGCCCGGGCCCCGGCCACCGGACGCTCTACCGGACACGACCCTCCCTGGAGCTTGGACAGCTGCCCACCTTGGACACTGCACCGGACACTGCCCCCCACAGGGCTGGACACTACAACGGACAGTACTTCCCAGCTCCGGACATTGCTCCCTCCTCCCCCTTGGGCCCTGGACGCTTTTCCCCCTCCCCCTCCGGGGGCCCAGACATTGAGCCCCCCACAGGCTCTAGCTAACGACCCCTTGCACCCCAGCGCCAGACACTGCCTCCCCCCTGTCCCCTTTTCTCTTCCCCTCCTCCCGCCTCGTCTTTCCCCGGGTCGGGTCGGAGCCCCCCCAGTTTCTCCGACCCCCTGCAGCTCTGCCCCGGCTGCCCGCGCCCCCATCCCCCGGCTGCTCGCCCGGATGCCTCTCCCCGGGGGATTGTGGTGGCTTCTCTGCTGCCGTCGAGGCTTTACTCTTCTGCATCGGGACTACGGGGACGGCGAGCTTAGCGGGGACGGGGACGAGGACGAGGACGAGGAGACCTTTGAGCTACGGACCCCGAGTCCAGCGGGCGGCGGGAGGGTAAGTCCCGGGGGGTTTGGAGCCTTGCCTCAATCCCTCTCACTACCACCAGCCATCACGCCTGATCCTGCTCCAGACTCCAACCAAATGCCGCGCTCCTGGCGGACTGGGGACGTAGGAGAGGTTTTTGCCTGGGGGTCAGAAGCCCCCGGGAGCTCAAGGAGCAGCCCTTCTCGGATGTGCCTATGGGCCTCGCGCCGCACGCTGGGCGCTGTCCACCTGCTGGGGGCCCTGAGGCAGGGGAAGCGTCACGCGTGGCCCGACCTGGCCCTGCCTCTCCCTTCCCCGCCGGGCCCGCGTCCCATCCCATCTCCTTCCGCCTCCGCCAGCTCCGAGGAATGTGGCGAGGCCGGCTGGGCGGCTCGGACGCCTGGGTCCGCTCCCCTCCCAGGTCGTGAGCGCTGAGTGCTGGGGCCAGATGCGGGAGCTCCCGCCGCGGGGACCTGGGAAAGGGGGAGACGCCATCCTCAGATTGGGGTCCGTGGCTGGGAACCCACGGAGAGGGAGCTGGGGGCCACAACTCTTCGAGAACTCCTCGTCATTACTCTGCCACTCAGGACAGAACTCTTGGCCCTCCCTGGTGAGGCTCCTGGGGGAATCCCTGAGGGAATGGTGAGGGACGCATGGTTCCCCAGTTTTGTCGAACCTCCCTGTGGGGAAACTGAGGCTCCATTGGTATGGGAGACCTTCATGCTCTGACGTCCCCTCTCCGATTCCCCAGCACACCAGCAACCAGACTCCCGTATGCTGTGGCCTGGGTCAAGCTCCCATCCCCCGCTCAGGGGTCCCCAACAGGCCCAGTGGCTCGGTGCCCGGGTGGGGCGGGCTGCGCGCCGGGGCCGGCGCCAGCACCTGGCGGAGGCGGAGGGCGGATAAATATAGAGGGGGGGAGGGAGGGAAGCTGGGGACTGCGATTAGAAGAGTTGGTCTGAGAGTGGTCAGCACCTGCCCCCCCACCCCCCGTGGTGTGGTCGAGAGCCTTTTTTCAGACTCTAGAAAATAGGTGGATTTTCGCCCCAGGAAAGCAAAGGACCCAGGCGTCCCCAAGCTTCCAGGCTGGGCAGGGTCAGCTCTGTGAACCAGGCCATTGCCTCCCTCATGCTCCACCTCCACCCCCCTCCCGGCAGCTTGGGGACAGGTGTCCCTGGCCCCCCTCCCTCACCCCCCTCCTGGTTTTAGCAGTCTGGGCGCACTGGGACAATGGCACAGTTCCCGCCTGACCTGGCTCCTGGACAGGTTTGCGGCCTCTCTCAGACCCCAGTCTACAGTTGAAGTTCTAAGGCATGGTGGGAGGGAGGGCAAAAACCCCTACCACACCTCCCCTGGGGAATGTGTGCCATTCGTCAGCCCGGCCTGCCCTTCCTGAGCCCCAGCAAAGGGGCAGGGTCTCTGCTTATATTGAGTCTCAGGGGTGTCTGTGGGGGGGGGCATAAGAAGCTTTTGGAGAAAGCCCCATACGGAAGGGGTCCTTTTTTCTTCCCTTAAGTCACTTCTGTGCCCACCTCCCGCTTGCCTGTCAGCCAACGAAGGGAAAGTGAGAAGGAGGGGGTTACTTCCAACCTGCCAAAGCAAGAAAGGACTAAGTCTACCTCTTCCTTTTCAAAGATGAGGAAGTTAAGACCCAAAGACTGGAGGGGACTTGGGAGTTAGTGCTAGAGCTGGTATTAGAACCCAGGTCTCCTGACTCCCTACCCAGGGCTCTTTCCACCCTACCAACCCGATTGCATCTTCGAAGGGTAACGCTGACAAGGCAGGAGAGCCTTGGCTCCTTAGCGCGGGCAGTTCTGTAGAGACTGGTGGGAGGGGCGAACCCGGCGGTTTCAGCTCGCTGCGACACAGACACGACCCCACTCCTTGATTCCTCAATCCCCTGAGCAGTGCTGTTCTGGGGGCAGAAACCACGGGTTTCCCGCGAGGTGGGCTTTGATCCTAAGCCTGTTTCCCCAGGGCCCTCTGGACGTGACACTGACTCAGCCTGTGAGGAGCGGACCTATCTCAGACAGGTGAGCTCCGCCCCTGCGTCTCATGGTCTGGAGACCCCAGCCCGTTCCCAGGACCCCCCACCCTCGCCGCCTTCCCTCCCGCAATTGTGCAATAAGGGAGAGTCCTTACGCCGGACGCTGTGGTTTGGCCGGGGTCCCGGGGGGGCGGTCCGGCTGGGGGCGCCGGGAGGAAGGGGGGGTCCGGGCTATTTCTGGTGCGAGGTCAGACCCGCCCAGCGGTTCCCACAGCTTGGGGGAGGGGTGCCCAACTCGGGAGCAGGCACCCCTCGCGGTCTGGGGAACCCCTATTGAGGAGCCCCCTAGAGGTGAGGTGCAAGACTGGCAGCCTCGCGCAACCCTCCCCCCACTCCTTTGGCCTAGGCTGCAGAGCTGGGAAGAGACGCGGAGCCTCATCCCGGAGAAGGGACAGCTGGAGGACGACACCGACGTCGTCGTGAAAGGTGAAGACTCACCTCAGGCACTCTGGAGGGGCCCCAATCCCAACCCTTCAGAGAATAATGTCTTCTCCTGCTGATCCCCTCCCCCCAGGTTGGCTGTACCGCGAGCCCCGCGGAGGAGGGGCGCGGCCCTGGTTGCCCCCGCGCCGGGCCTGGTTCGTGCTCACCCGGGACTCCCTGGACCAGTTCAGCAGCAGCGGGAAAGGGGCGCGGCGCCTCGGGAGCCTCGTGCTCACCAGCCTCTGCTCTGTGATCGGCCCGGAGCGCAGGCCCAAGGAGACCGGTGAGACCTCGTGGGGACTGTCCTACCTCCCTGGGCAGCGACTCCAGCCGGCCCTGATTGCCCTATGCGGCTTCTCTTTCTCCCCAGGTCTGTGGTCAGTGACCGTGTCTGGCCGGAAGCACAGCATCCGGCTCTGCTCTCCGCGTCAGGCTGAGGCAGAGCGCTGGGGGGTGGCCCTGCGTGAAGTGATCGCCTCCAAGGCGCCGCTGGAGACCCCCACCCAGCTGCTGCTCAGGGACATTCAGGTGCCAGAGAGGGGCATCCATCGAGAAAGAGGAGGGTGGTGGACGCAGCAGCTTTCTGGATTCATGGGAGCCCCCTTCTCCATCACCTTAACCCTTTCCCTGGCCTCTAGGAGAGTTGCGGGGACCCAGAAGCTGTGGCACTCATTTACCATCGGAACCCCATTCTGAGGCACACCAGCGGGGCCTTGTACGCCCCTCTCCTGCCTCTGCCCTACGGCGTCAGCACCCCAGGTGAGTAGTGCCGAGTGTCAAGTCCCTTGGATGAGGGGACTGAATGCCTCACTTGACCAGGAACCTAGGAGTCCTCAGGGGACCTAGCCAGATCCTCACTTTTCAAAGACTGAAGGTGAAACCGGAAGCTGACCAGACATACCCAGAGTGGCAGGGTGGGAAGCCAGCACAGAGAGAAAGACCCCCTTTCACCACCTTTTCTATGGGTATCGTTCTGACTACTGGTGTTCCTTCATGAGTTTTTACAGTCTTTTGTTCTTTCATTATACTCTTAAGACCATTCCATACTACCTTTACAAGTTGTGGAAAAGCCACCAGTTTGTGAGAATGTGCTGGCCTCATCCAGCTGTATTTCTCCCCCAAAAGGATTAGTGACTGGCACAGGTCCTAAAGCTAGAGGAGTAAGGGGAGCTGGGAGAAGAACCCTGGCTTTCTGACTCCAGTCCAGCCTGTTTTCTAGCCCATGGTGATGGCTCTCCGTACCCAATTACAGAATCTGGGCTTGAACCTATGTCTTTTAGTCTATCCCTCTACCATAGTAACTCAAAGTGAAGCTTTAGCAGATCCTGAGGGGGAGATTTCTGGGAAGCAGGGGTTGAGAGTTTGTGGGGACCATTGCTTTCCCTTCACTCTTCCTGTCCTTCGTACCCTCCCCTCCTTGCCACCCTCTGTCCCCTTATACTCCCTCTGACCTCCCCCTGGTTCATGCCTTCCTCCCAGGGCCCAGCTCTGTGTCCCCTTTCCAAACCGTCCCTCCGCCCCCACCCTCCCGCAGGTCCCGGTTACGCACCCTTGCGCGAGGAGGCGGTGCGGCTGTTCCTGGCGCTGCAGGCCCTGGAGGGGGCGCGGCGCCCAGGGCCCCTGATGCAGGGTGTACTCCAGACCTGCCGGGACCTGCCCGCGCTCCGCGACGAACTCTTCCTACAGCTGGCTAAGCAGACCTCGGGCCCCGCGGGCCCCCCCGGGCTCCCGGCTACCGAAGACCCCGCGGCCCTACGGTACTGGCAGCTCCTCACCTGCATGAGCTGCACCTTCCGGCCTGGGGGAGCTGTACGGGGGCACCTCCTGGGACATCTGGAGAGGTGAGAGAGATAGGGTGGTGTAAGGCGAAGGCAAGAGAGCTACAGGGCTGGGAGAGAATAACAGGCCTTTCCAAAGGGTTTGGCAGATGGAGAACTTAGACCCAGAGAAGGGAAGAGACTTGCCCAAGGTCAAGGCCGCTACTAAATATGTACGTCTTTGTAGGAATTACAAGATCATATCTCACTTGCAGGCGGAGAAATTACAAAAAGGCGCCCCCTTTGGGCAGAGGAATTATCAAAAGGCTGCTTTTCCTTGGGGCTGATGCAGTCCAGATCCAGGACTTTTAGGTTGGAAAGCGGAATACTGCTGGATTTTGGATTTCAGCCCGAAGGAGGATCATGGAGCCTTTGGAAGTGGGAGGGGGCAGTTAGGAGATAGCTGCGGGAGGCGGGGGGGG